GCGTTGTAGGGCTGTCATACAGCCCAAGTGGCGCAGTGGTCTAAGGCACTGCATTGCAGTGCTAGCTGTGCCACTAGAGATCCTTGTTCGAATCCAGGCTCTGTTGTAGCCAGCTGCGACCAGGAGACCCATGGGGTGGCGCACAATTGGCCCAGAGTAGGGGAGGGAATGGCCAGCAGGGATGTAGAGCATGGTGTTCGCAATGCCAGGGTTGTGGGTTCAATTCCCACGGGGGGCCAGTATGAAACAATTAAAATAATGTATGCACTCACTAACTGTAAGTCGCTCTGGATAAGAGCGTCTGCTAAATTACGTAAATACAGGCATGTGGAGGCCACATACACTACTGAGCCTCATTTTGACTTGTTTTAAGGACATTACATCAAAGTTGGTTCAGCCTGTAGTGTGGTTTTCCACTTTAATTTTGAGGGTGACTCCAAATCCAGACCTCCATGGGTTGATAAATTTGATTTCCATTGATAATTTTTGTGTGATTTTGTTGTCAGCACATTCAACTATGTAAAGAAAAAAGTGTTTAATAAGATTATTTCATTCATTCAGATCTAGGATGTGTTATTTTAGTGTTCCCTTTATTTTTTGAGCAGTGTATATTTTTGAATAGGGTCAGGTTTTAAAATGGCAGGCTTACTGTAAGCTAATGCACAAAATTACTTATAAATATATTTGGAGAAGCCGTATTGGATATGTAAAAATGTATAAAAAAGAATGATGTAATCAATAGGCTGCCTCTCGAAGCCATTGCTCACCCGCATATGGGGAGGGGGGGGGGATCTCAAACAGTCTGTTTATCCACATAACCCAACCATTAAGTCTATGTTTATGTCACTATCTCTCTATCTTTATGGTACCAGGCGAACGTTATACAGAGACATATACAGTGAGGGAAAAAAAGTATTTGATCCCCTGCTGATTTTGTTCGTCGTTTACCCACTGACAAAGAAATGATCAGTCAATGACTTTAATGGTAGGTTTATTTGAACAGTGAGAGACAGAATAACAACAAAAAGATCCAGAAAAACGCATGTCAAAAATGTTATAAATTGATTTGTATTTTAATGAGGGAAATAAGTATTTGACCCCTCTCAATCAGAAAGATTTCTGGCTCCCAGGTGTCTTTTATACAGGTAACAAACTGAGATTAGGAGCACACTCTTAAAGGGAGTGCTCCTAATCTCAGCTTGTTACCTGTATAAAAGACACCTGTCCACAGAAGCAATCAATCAGATTCCAAACTCTCCACCATGGCCAAGACCAAAGAGGTCTCCAAGGATGTCAGGGACCAGATTGTAGACCTACACAAGGCTGGAATGGGCTACAAGACCATCGCCAAGCAGCTTGGTGAGAAGGTGACAACAGTTGGTGCGATTATTCGCAAATGGAAGAAACACAAAATAACTGTCAATCTCCCTCGGCCTGGGGATCCATGCAAGATCTCACCTCGTGGAGTTGCAATGATCATGAGAACGGTGAGGAATCAGCCCAGAACTACACGGGAGGATCTTGTCAATGATCTCAAGGCAGCTGGGACCATAGTCACCAAGAAAACAATTGGTAACACACTACGCCGTGAAGGACTGAAATCCTGCAGCGCCTGCAAGGTCCCCCTGCTCAAGAAAGCACATATACAGGCCCGTCTGAAGTTTGCCAATGAATATCTGAATGATTCAGAGGAGAACTGGGTGAAAGTGTTGTGGTCAGATGAGACCATAATCGAGCTCTTTGGCATCAACTCAACTCGCCGTGTTTGGAGGAGGAGGAATGCTGCCTATGACCCCAAGAACACCATCCCCACCGTCAAACATGGAGGTGGAAACATTATGCTTTGGGGGTGTTTTTCTGCTAAGGGGACAGGACAACTTCACCGCATCAAAGGGACGATGGACGGGGCCATGTACCGTCAAATCTTGGGTGAGAACCTCCTTCCCTCAGCCAGGGCATTGAAAATGGGTCGTGGATGGGTATTCCAGCATGACAATGACCCAAAACACACGGCCAAGGCAACAAAGGAGTGGCTCAAGAAGAAGCACATTAAGGTCCTGGAGTGTCCTAGCCAGTCTCCAGACCTTAATCCCATAGAAAATATGTGGAGGGAGCTGAAGGTTCGAGTTGCCAAACGTCAGCCTCGAAACCTTAATGACTTGGAGAAGATCTGCAAAGAGGACTGGGACAAAATCCCTCATGAGATGTGTGCAAACCTGGTGGCCAACTACAAGAAACGTCTGACCTCTGTGATTGCCAACAAGGGTTTTGCCACCTAGTACTAAGTCATGTTTTGCAGAGGGGTCAAATACTTATTTCCCTCATTAAAATGCAAATCAATTTATAACATTTTTGACATGCGTTTTTCTGGATTTTGTTGTTGTTATTCTGTCTCTCACTGTTCAAATAAACCTACCATTAAAATTATAGACTGATCATGTCTTTGTCAGTGGGCAAACGTACAAAATCAGCAGGGGATCAAATACTTTTTTCCCTCACTGTACATGCCCACATACAAATGTAATCTATAATGTTAAACACTGAATAAGTTAGGTTATGATTTAAGACTTCTGCTCCAGAACAGATAAACATAGACAGATCCAAGTTGATAAAGGCTGATGTTATACCAGCTGGCTCTCCTCATTTTTCTGCTTCCAGACAAGTGTGTGTGCAGTTTGGTTTTGTGTGTGCGCACGTGTGTGTATGTGTGTGTGTGTGTCAGCATGAGTTAGGCAGAGCGTCTCATCTCTGCCATCTTACCCAAACATGAAGGGCAGTGACTTCAGAGCGCTTTCTAATGAATTCTTAATCAGCTGACTAACATTTAGCCTGAGCGCCAGACAATTCAGATGAGACACAAACCGCAGCTACGCATTCCAGAAACGTCCTGCCTTCCGTCCGACGGTAACAAACACTCCAACTGCTAGGAGAATCTGCTTCATTCTGTGAGTCATCATTAACGGAAACAAACCGTACTGAACAATCGTTGAGGTTCATTTCGGAAAAAGAAAGAGCTCGAGGATATGGTTTGTCATATGGTCAGTCAGCTCTAATAATGAGGGTCCAATGCAGGTTAACACACTAGCCCTATATCTTTGTTCATAATGTTTTGTAAAAACACTGCTGAGAAAAGTATCAACAGGAGTATGTATTATGTGAAACAGAATAATATCAGCCATTTAGCAGACACTTTTAACCAAACTCACAAATGCATACGTTTTTGCATTGGTGGCCCTGGCAGGAATCAAACCCACAATACTGATTTTGCAAGCGCCATGCTTGCCATGCTCTACCAACTGAGCCACACAGGACCACATCCCAGAACCTTATCCCATTGTTATTTCCTTTTATTGATTTCTTTGACATGACATTAGCATTGTTACTTCCTGTAATTCTGAGCGTTACCCAGAATACATCAGTCCAGGAAGACAAACCAAAACAGGTCAAATAACTGGCCAGTGGAAAGAAAAATACATGTCCCCTTCTTTTCACTGAGATAAATAAATACATGAGATTAGAGCGAAACTCTTAACTTGAAATGTGTACAGTATGCCTTCCCTTGGCTAGCATTAATAGCAGTGACAGAGTGCATATATGACAGTGACATTAAATGAAGTATCTTCAATAAATAATGAACACAGACTTGGGTTAAAGAGTTCAAAAAAAATACTAAGCAATGTTTATACCGCCTGGAAGATTGCTAGTGCAGAGCCAAACGCTGTTCAGTTTGACCGGTTTGCTTATGGGGTTTGTGTGTATAAAATACTGTACAACTGCTGGTTACCTGGAAAACGTTGTGTGAATGAACACTGCTTTGACAAAACCAGCGTACTGTACCTTTAAGAGAAGCAAAGGCGAGTGACAACCGATTCATGGTAATTTTGTGTTTACTTAACAGCTAGCTTGCCATTGGTCCCTCCCTCTTTCCACACAATAGAACAACCATTTGAAACGTAACGTAAAATTACACACATAACTTGGCAGGCTAAAAAGCAAACGTTAACGCATTGAAAGTCCATCAGGTGACTGACCACCTGGGGCCAGAAGCAGTCCCAAATACTGTACAGTAGTACTCACTCAACACACTGTAGCGTGAGGGGAGACAGTCAAGGCTTCCTGTTTCACAGCAAAATAACAAGCCTGCTGGCATTCCTGTCTAAAGAAATGCGTCTCTCCCTCTCCGTCTGAAGGCAAGAGTTATGTATGTGTGTCTGTCTGTGCTTCACTGGACGAGGACACACGGAGGAGCTTTCCTTCTCTGTAGCAGAGACTGGCGGCTTTGTCTGTGTGTGTGTGTGTGTCTGTTGTCTGTGTGTCTGTGTGTCTGTGTGTCTGTTGTCTGTCTGTCTGTCTGTGTGTGTGTGTGTGTGTGTGTGTGTGTGTGTGTGTGTGTGTGTGTGTGTGTGTGTGTGTGTGTGTGTGTGTGTGGATCTTTGGGCTCAGCAAATTATTCCGGAATTGTGCAGAAAAGATTGGTTCCCCTTTTCAAACTAAATGCAGAAATAAAATGAAAAATAACAGACCCCTATTTTCTGCATGCGAGGCCAGACACCGTCTTGTTACAATAACCAATGAGTTGTGAATTAACTCAACTCAGACTGAACTAGAAGAGAGTTCAACTAGTAGAAATGGAGGGATTTGAACCAAAGCAGAGTAGAGGAGAACCAGAGTCCAGTCCTGAGATGTTCATGTCCTGGTCAAGTGACCTTCTGTGATTGACTGAGGGGAGGAGGAGAGGAGGAGAGGATGGAGCGATGGATGAACTTGGGGATGAAGGTATGAGGGGGGCGTTGTTGAGGGGCGTTGTTAAGAGGGGAGGTTGAGGGGCGTTGGTTGGTGTGGTGGTGGCCGGGGTGCTGTGTGCGTACAGTATGTGAGTGTGTCAAAATAACACAGTTCTGTTTCAAGGTGTTGGTAAGTAGCCGTTTCACTCGCAATGGTTGTTCCCGATGAGGTTGTTGGGGGTCGTCAGGGTCAGGTTTTGGGTCAAAGATCGTAGGTCAGTTCTGCTCCAGGTCGTCTGCCGTGGGCGTGTTGTAGCTCTGGAAGAGGGGCTGCATGAACAGCCCCAAAGTCCCAGTAATGCACACAAACACAAATATCCACAGGAACAGCCGGTCAATCACCATGGCAACGTACTTCCAGTCCTCAATGACCTGTGGCAGGATACAAAAAGAGCGATACACAATGAATAATGTTTTGACAATAGAAGAACAATACTCTCGGCTCCAAACTATTCTGCTCATATCATCTCAAGGCTATCCTTCCTCCACACACACAAACACACACACACTCACCCCCTCATCGTTGTCCTCACTCTTCATCTTCTCGGCGACGTAGCGCACCCCGTCCACAGCCTCCTCAACGTCTGCGTGACACTTCACCGTCATCCTCTTCCTGAACTCTGTGTTCTCCGACAGGTCGCTGATCTTCCAGCCGTACCGCTTGGCTGACTCCTCGTTCACATAGAAGGAGTCGGCCCCGCCTATCCCAGACCCCTCTGCCACCCCCATTCCCCCCCGCGGCCGGGGCCACTGCCACCGCCCCGTCGGAGTAGGAGCGCTGCTGGTGCTTCTGGCGGAACCTCTCTCGGATGTTGGAGCTGCCCGGCCGACGCATGAACAGGAAGGAGGGGAGACGGTGCAGGAAGAGACGTTTGACCCAGGGGGGCATGGTGTGTGTGGAGGGCGTGCGGTGGTGCACGTTGAGCACACACACACTGGTGACGATGGAGAAGGTGACCAGCACCATGGCAAACATCAGATACTTCCCTATGAGAGGGACAGCTAGAGACGTAGGCGGGACGATCTTGGAGATCAGCAGCAGGAACACAGTGAGGGCCAGGAGGACTGAAATACAGAGAGTCATCTTCTCTCCACAGTCAGACGGCAGGTAGAACACTAAGATAGCCAGAGAGGTAATGAGAACACAGGGGATGATCAGGTTGATGGTGTAGAACAGTGGCTTGCGCTTGATGATGAAGTCATAGGTGATGTCCAGGTAGGTGATGTCAGAGGGGTCTTCGTTCTTGCGACCCGGCAGAGACACAATGTCCCACTCACCACTGGGCTTGAAGTCGTCACGGCTGGCGAAATCGCTGAGCAGGATCAGGTCGATCTCTGTGTGGTCGTAGGTCCAGGACCGGAACTTGAGTGTGCAGTTCTGCTGGTCGAAGGGGAAGTCGCGTACCTCAATCTTGCAGGCCGACTTGTAGATGGCGGGGGGCAGCCAGTACACCTCTCCATTGTTGGAGACCACCGTGTTGGAGTAGAATGACACCTCGTAGTTCCCATCAGCACTGAGGTGAAGTGAAGACAGAAAGGAATCAGAACCAGCACACATACACACATAGATACATATTAGAAGGAGACCACATAGTTCCTATCAGCATTGAGAGACAGGACACCACGGGAGAGAGAGAGGGAGGTGTCAGAGATACCACACAGATAAATACATAGAAGACAAAGATAAATACATAGAAGAAGAAGAAGATAAATACATAGAAGAAGTTAAATACATAGAAGAAGATAAATACATAGAAGAAGAAGATACATACATAGAAGAAGAGAAATACATAGAAGAAGAAGAGAAATGCATAGAAGAAGAAGATAAAAACATAGAAGAAGATAAATGCATAGAAGAAGAAGAAGAAGATAAATACATAGAAGAAGAAGAGAAATGCATAGAAGAATAAGATAGATGTTAGCAATAGGTAAGACATTGGTGGATGTTAGCATTAGGTAAGACACACACAGAGGGAGATATGGTAGCTGGTGTTGTTGACTGGGCATTTGGGTTGTTGTGCTTGGAGACAAGGGACAGGGACGGGGGAAACTGCGTCAGACACCCCTGTCACAGGACAGGCCTGAATCTGCTGAGATTTCAAATTTAGATTCTCACCAGGTTGCAGGTGTTGCATTATACATCAAAGTGTTATAAATTATAAAGCAGGTCAGGAGGAGTCCAGCCATCACACTGCTCTGCTCCTAACCACAAAAACACACACACAGACACACACACTGACACGCTGCTCTACACAATAAATCTCCTCCTGTCCTAAATATGCAGCTGGTTAAAAGTCTCTTTACCCAAACAACTATAGCTCTACACCCAAACAACTAGCTCTATACCCAAACAACTAGTTCTATACCCAAACAACTATAGCTCTATACCCAAACAACTATAGCTCTATACCCAAACAACTAGCTCTATACCCAAACAACTAGCTCTATACCCAAACAACTATAGCTCTATACCCAAACAACTAGTTCTATACCCAAAAAACTATAGCTCTATACCCAAACAACTAGCTCTATACCCAAACAACTTCAGCTCTATACCCAAACAACTAGCTCTATACCCAAACAACTATAGCTCTATACCCAAACAACTAGCTCTATACCCAAACAACTATAGCTCTATACCCAAACAACTAGCTCTATACCCAAACAACTACAGCTCTATACCCAAACAGCTATAAACACTGATAGCTTTATACCCAAACAACTGTAACTATCAACCTGCAGATCAGGTTTCCAACACATTGAGATATAAAGATATGGCTGTGACTTTGACCCAAACAATTCCAGTACAGCTCTACCTTGATACCAGCACAACTATACCTGAAAACATCTATTACTCAATATCCTAATAACTTTATAGTCAATCAAACATTTGTCATCTTAACATATTCAGGCATGAATGAAATCATGTATTTTCACTTTAACAAGCCAACCCAATATAATCAAATATAAAATCTATGGCACTTCCATATTTCACATGATGCTTCACACAACTAAAATAATTTGCACATTTTCACTATAGAGGCTAAAGTCCAGAAAGACTAGATCAGGACAGAACTCCCATGGTGGTGGTGTTGAGTATCTGGAGTGTGAAACAGGTGAGGGCGAGAGCCTTTCTGTCACACACACACACACAGCCACCTGACCTGGCCTCTGATCACACACACACATGTGTTTCATAATCCAAATCTCCTCTCTGCAGATTTAACAGTGCTCATCTATCCCCTCTCTCTAAGCCCTCATCTCTGTCTCCTGTTCCCTCCCTCCAAATGATTACAGTAATCACATCTTGACTTTAGCCCTCCCTCCTGCAGACCTTGGGTTAGCTGAGGCTCAGATTAGAACCAGAATTACTATTAGTCGCCAAGTACATTTACACATACCCAGCATTTGACTTACTGATTTCCGCTAGAAGGGCCAGCTGCAAAGTCAAAATTGGCTATATTGTAAGAATTCATGAAAACAAATACAAGCTTTTTGGTGTTCATTTAAGGTTAGGGTTAGGCATTATGGTTAGCAGTGTGGTTAAGGTTAGGGTTAAGCTTAGGGTTAGGTTGATGACTTTATGACTTTGTGGCTGTGCCAGCTAGTGACCACTCTGCAGAGCTGCATCCAGGGCAAGATTCATGACAATAAATGCCAACCTGCGAATTAGTGCTGCCAGCAATAGACAAATGTACAGACAGAATACAGTCAGAGGAATTTACACACAGTCAACATACAATATAAATACAGTAAACTTGAAACATAAAATACTAGTCTAGGGTATGTGTCACGACTTCCGCCTAGGCTGCCTCCCCTCCTTGTTCGGGCAGGCTTCGGCGTTCGTCGTCACCGGCCTTCTAGCCACTGCCGCTCCATATATCATCATTCCATTTGTCTTGTCTTGTTAATTACACACACCTGTTTCTTATCCCCTCATTAGTCAGTGTATAAGTGTAACCCTCTGTCCCCTTGTCCTTGTGGGTGATTGTTTATTTGTGAGAGTAGTGTAGCTCGGTGGAGCTACTCGTACATTGTTATTGCCGAGGTAGATATTTCATTGTTGGAGATACCGTTACCTTGTATTGCCAGGGGAGATTTTCCCCTGTGCCTGTTTCATTTGTCGCTATCCAGCACTAGTTGTGTACGACGGAATAAACTCTGCATTCGGTGATTACCCTCCTGCGCCTGACTCCTTCTATCACACTCATCACAGTATGGGCTGATTGACAGTGAGGAAATACAATTTACAGTGGGGATATATCTATGTATGCAGAGGGAGGGATGCTGCCGTTACGTATATACATACAGTGTTGTGCAGAGGTGTACGTAGTCCAGTTAATTGTATTAGGAGGAGACTCTTCAGTAGGCCCTGACCAACCGAACTGCTGCTGCTATTACCACCTACACCTTTGTCATGATGGGACTTTAAGCCCACACTTCAATCAAGGTGTTACCAATGCTTTTCCTTTTACTCATTATCCTGATAGCAACTGACAAGTAGAAGTAGAGTATTTGTTACATTAGATATTACTTGAATGATTGGTATTTTAATTGAGCGATGCTATAGTTTGAGATGGCTCTAACCTTATTTATAACACATACAGTTGAAGTCAGAAGTTTACATACACTTAGGTTGGAGTCATTAAAACTCGTTTTTCAACCACTCTACAAATTTCTTGTTAACAAACTATCGTTTTGGCAAGTCGGTTAGGACATGTACTTTGTGCATGACACAAGTCATTTTTCCAACAATTTGTTTACAGACAGATTATTTAATTTATAATTCACTGTATCACAATTCGAGTGGGTCAGACATTTACATACACTAAGTTGACTGTGCCTTTAAACAGCTTGGAAAATTCCAGAAAATTATGTAATGGCTTTAGAAGCTTCTGATAGGCTAATTGACATCATTTGAGTCAATTGGAGGTGTACCTGTGGATGTATTTCAAGGCCTACCTTCAAACTCAGTGCCTCTTTGCTTGACATCAAGGGGAAATCAAAAGAAATCAGCCAAGACCTCAGAAAATTAATTGTAATGTAATAATGTAATATGCCATTTAGCAGACGCTTTTATCCAAAGCGACTTACAGTCATGCGTGCATACATTTTTTTTTGTGTATGGGTGGTCCCGGGGATCGAACCCACTACCTTGACGTTACAAGCGCCGTGCTCTACCAGCTGAGCTACAGAGGACCACCTCCACAAGTCTGGTTCATCCTTCGGAACAATTTCCAAACGCCTGAAGGTACCACGTTCATCTGCACAAACAATAGTACGCAAGTATAAACACCATGGGACCACGCAGCCGTCATACCGCTCAGGAAGGAGAGGCGTTCTGTCTCCTAGAGATGAACGTACTTTGGTGCGAAAAGTGCAAATCAATCCCAGAACAACAGCAAAGGACCTTGTGAAGATGCTGGAGGAAACAGGTGCAAAAGTATCTATATCCACAGTAAAACGAGTCCTATATCGACATAACCTGAAAGGCCGCTCAGCAAGGAAGAAGCGTACTGCTCCAAAACACCCATAAAAAAGCCAGACTACGGTTTGCAACTGCACATGGGGACAAAGATTGTACTTTTTGGAGAAATGTCCTCTGGTCTGATGAAACAAAAATATAACTGTTTGGCCATAATGACTATCGTTATGTTTGGAGGATGGCTTGCAAGCCGAAGAACACCATCCCAACCGTGAAGCACGGGGGTGGCAGCATCATGCTGTGGGGGTGCTTTGCTGCAAGAGGGACTGGTGCACTTCACAAAATAGATGGCATCATGAGGAAGGAAAATGATGTGGATATATTGAAGCAACATCTCAAGACATCAGTCAGGAAGTTAAAGCTTGGTCGCAAATGGGTCTTCCAAATGGACAATGACCCCAAGCATACATCCAAAGTTGTGGCAAAATGGCTTAAGGACAACAAATTCAAGGTATTGGAGTGGCCATCACAAAGCCCTGAAAATGTGTGGGCAGAACTGAAAATGCGTGTGCGAGCAAGGAGGCCTACAAACCTGGCTCAGTTACACCAGCTCTGTCAGGAGGAATGGGCCAAAATTCACCCAACTTATTGTGGGAAGCTTGTGGAAGGCTACCCGAAACATTTGACCCAAGTTAAACCAATTTAAAGGCAATGCTACCAAATACTAATTGAGTGTATGTAAACTTCTGACCCACTGGGAATGTGATGAAAGAAATAAAACCTGAAATAAATCATTCTCTTTACTATTATTCTGACATTTCACATTCTTAAAATAAAGTGGTGATCCTAACTGAACTAAGACAGTGCATTTTTACTAGGATTAAATGGCAGGAATTGTGAAAAACTGAGTTTAAATGTATTTGGCTAAGGTGTATGTAAACTTCCGACTTCAACTTTAGATAGTGTCTGATATATAGATATGGATTATATTTACACATAACACACACACACACACAAACACACACAGCTCACTCACTTGTTGTAGAGGACGATGTCAGGCAGCCAGATGTGTTGAGATGGGAGGCGGACCTTCTTAATGCCCTCATACTCCTCTGGGTCCCACATCAACCTGTAGTCATTCCATACCTGAGTCAGCCAGCAGTTGGTGGTCATGATCTGTTCTCTCTCATTCTGCAACAGACAGACAGGGAGAGAGAAGCATGAGAGAGAATGTGTGTGTGTGTGTGTGCGTGCGTGCGCGCACGTGCGTGGTGTGTGTACTCACCACACTAATGAGCTGGGCCAGGGACACCTGTATATGGATGGTGACCTGTTGGCTCTTGTTGACAGCAGGTCTGATCAGTTTGTTGTAGCGCTCGGGAGACAGCAGGTAGGTCACCAATCGCTCCTCTATCTCCGCGCCCAAGGCAGCTACACACACACACACACACACACACACATACACACACACATATGCACACAAACAAACACATACACACAGAGGGAGAGGGATACAATTGTGTAACTGGAAGAAAAGGCATACATACACAAAAACATCCACAAAAGGAGTTTCAAGACAACATGCCATGTAATTGCCCCCACAGCCGCGTTTGATGCTCAGCGATTCAAGTGTACCAGTCTGTGACCACCGTGTGAACTTTCCAAGTGGACTCCAAGCCAAATATGTAGACAGGAGCAAGCAAAAACAACCTGACAGTACATATTCAAACTAGCCTAATGTCATCATCGCAGTAGAGTGGATGTGTGTGTATATTACTCTATGACCATTCTAGTACATATTCATGTTGAACTAATCACCCCTCTTTTCATACTAAAGTCTCATTACCGTTTCAATATATATTCATATTGCCCTAAAATGAACCCTTCTAGTTCATATTCATACTCAAAGTTTATATTTATATTGAACTTTAAACATCCTTATCTAGTACACACTGCAGTCTACAACTACCCTTCTATTTCATATCACCCAGTCCATATTCATCATGCCCTGGTATCATCCTCACTGTGCATATATTTACATAACAGCATAACGGAGTATGTGTAAGCCTTCCATTATAAAGGACTGTCATGTAGCAGAGCCAGTGAGCCACATCAGACCAACATTAGACCTTTCAGACCACAGCTGACTCAGCGCATTGGTTTTAATGGGGATCATTATGAACTAACTGCTTCTTGATTAGCATAATTGAAAGCTTGATTAGTGGACACACACACACTTGTATTTATACACACACACACACACAGAGGGCAGTGTTTAGTGGAGCGAGGTTTAAATCTCGTGCTGAGGTAAGGTCCTTCTAATTTGGACTGCAGTGTCGTGGGATGTTCTCATTGCCTGTTGACACTGCAATGAGAATGCAATATGCAACATCTCTCCAGATAGAATGTGTGTGCATGTGTGGGTGTGTACGTACGTTACATAGTCTCTGATCTGACAAACAGTTGTGATGTGATCGTGTCTTTACTGACAGTCCAATAAACATATCCACACACACATACAGTATATACAGCGGGGAGAACAAGTATTTGATACACTGCCAATTTTGCAGGTTTACAAAGCATGTAGAGGTCTGTAATTTTTATCATAGGTACACTTCAACTGCGAGAGACGGAATCTAAAACAAAAATCCAGAAAATCACATTGTATGATTTTTAAGTAATTAATTTGCATTTTATTGCATGACAAAAGTATTTGATACATCAGAAAAGCAGAACTTAATATTTGGTACAGAAACCTTTGTTTGCAATTACAGAGATCATACGTTTCCTGTAGGTCTTTACCAGGTTTGCACACACTGCAGCAGGGATTTTGGCCCACTCCTCCATACAGACTTTCTCCAGATCCTTCAGGTTTCGGGGCTGCCGCTGGGCAATACGGACTTTCAGCTCCCTCCAAATATGTTCTATTGGGTTCAGGTCTGGAGACTGGATAGGCCACTCAAGGACCTTGAGATGCTTCTTACGGAGCCACTCCTTAGTTGCCCTGACTGTGTGTTTCGAGTCGTTGTCATGCTGGAAGACCCAGCCACGACCCATCTTCAATGCTCTTACTGAGGGAAGGAGGTTGTTGGCCAAGATCTTGCGATACATGGCCCCATCCATCCTCCCCTCAATACGGTGCAGTCGTCCTGTCTCCTTTGCAGAAAAGCATCCCCAAAGAATGATGTTTCCACCTCCATGCTTCACGGTTGGGATGGTGTTCTTGGGGTTGTACTCATCCTTCTTCTTCCTCCAAACACGGCGAGTGGAGTTTAGACCAAAAAGCTCTATTTTTGTCTCATCAGACCACATGACCTTCTCCCATTCCTCCTCTGGATCATCCAGATGGTCATTGGCAAACTTCAGACGGGCCTGGACATGCGCTGGCTTGAGTAGGGGGACCTTGCGTGCGCTGCAGGATTTTAATCCATGACGGCGTAGTGTGTTACTAATGGTTTTCTTTGAGACTGTGGTCCCAGCTCTCTTCAGGTCATTGACCAGGTCCTGCCGTGTAGTTCTGGGCTGATCCCTCACCTTCCTCATGATCATTGATGCCCCACGAGGTGAGATCTTGCATGGAGCCCCAGACCGAGGGTGATTGACCGTCATCTTGAACTTCTTCCATTTTCTAATAATTGCGCCAACAGTTGTTGCCTTCTCACCAAGCTGCTTGCCTATTGTCCTGTAGCCCATCCCAGCCTTGTGCAGGTCTACAATTTTATCCCTAATGTCCTTACACAGCTCTCTGGTCTTGGCCATTGTGGAGAGGTTGGAGTCTGTTTGATTGAGTGTGTGGACAGGTGTCTTTTATACAGGTAACGAGTTCAAACAGGTGCAGTTAATACAGGTAATGAGTGGAGAACAGGAGGGCTTCTTAAAGAAAAATTAACAGGTCTGTGAGAGCCGGAATTCTTACTGGTTGGTAGGTGATCAAATACTTATATCATGCAATAAAATGCAAATTAATTACTTAAAATTCATACAATGTGATTTTCTGGATTTTTGTTTTAGATTCCGTCTCTCACAGTTGAAGTGTACCTATGATAAAAAGTACAGACCTCTACATGCTTTGTAAGTAGGAAAACCTGCAAAATCGGCAGTGTATCAAATACTTGTTCTCCCCACTGTACATACTTATACCATGGCATTGTTGAATACACATTTTCGATTGGCTTGAAGGGCATTCTAGTGCGTGCATTATTTCCCTATATTGCATGGTATAATTCAATGGCTATGAAGTTCATTCTTACATGTTCTATTTTTGAGCTGCTTTTGAAAGCAAAAGTCAAATTGAAAACATTATTGGCATTGTTGAATTAGATTTTCATAATAGCAAGCTAGGATGATGGTTTGGTTAACTAAAATAGTAAGTCTGTTTGTTTGGTTACCAAGGCAACTACTGTAGCTATCTAACTAGCTAGTAGCTACTTCAGTGGATGTTTTCACATTTCTACTGGCAAATGAATACATTTCTAGCGGCAAATATGTTAATTTATAGCTATGGTATAAAAGGGATAATCAACTCAGGGCTCTGTGCGTTCTCTGGAAAATAAAGCAACTCTGTGGAAGGTTTGTTCCACTCTGCTAATGCGTTGCAGAATACACCTTCCATGTCATACACTATTTTCCATAGAACGTACAGCCCCTCGATGATTATCCCTTACTTATACAACGGGTGGGTCTAATCCTGGAGGCTGATTGGTTAAAATCATGTTCCAGCCGGTGTCTATTCCACAAGTTACCACCAGCTAAGGCTATGATGTTGAAATGCCTATTCACTATTCCATCTGACTGTGCAATCCACTGTCTCATCAGCCCAGTCAGGCAATTTATTTATAAACTTGATCTCTACTGTAAAAGCATCTAGATATTATCTCCCATTTTGTTTAGACTAACATTTGGTTTTCAACAGCGGAGATTTGTATTAACCTTGCTGTCTGTCTTTCCGACATTTGCAACATTGTTTCAATATTGAAATTCGATCTCCAGATGTCCCATATTAATGAACGTGTCGGGAGTCAGGACGAGACAGACAGGCTGGCAGCTTTTCATAGCCAGTCGAAATCATGAATCATGAATCAGCATGTCATTTGCTGTCATTCCAGCTTCAGTTTGAAGTTATTGTGATAGCTGTGTAGTTGGCTAGCTCCTCTGAACAGTGTCCTGGAAATCGTGCATCATTAGCTCATTGTTATTGTTACAGATTAAACAAATGCAAATGCAGCTACCTTGCTGTTATTCTGGCTGCATTGTTTGACATGACTGTGTTAGCCGAAGTTGGCTAGCTAGCAAGCAAAGGATAAGAACGTTGCAGCCATCATGGCAACGAAACATTTAGAACGAACGACTGGGTGGCGTCCATAGATTTAGAACAAAAAGACTTAACGACTGGGCCGCGTCTCTGGCAACCGAACCGATAGAACGAACAACCAGCCGGCTTGGGTAGCAAACCTAGATTTGTGTCGGGACTATATCTCATGGAAGGATGAAATAGTATGAAAAAAATCATCAAAATAACGTTTTCAATGAAAATATGTCAATCATTACTTGAATATGTTGGTAACCCGTTGTATAAAAGTGATAATGCCCTTGAAGCCGGTGTTTGGAGGATATATTGGCACGGTTTGCCGACCCGGGACAAACAACAACTCTGCCAATATATCCTCTGAACGCCGGCTTCAAGGGCATTATCACTTAAACGTACTGAATGTACATACTGTAAGTACACATTAATTCACTCACACACACACATACACACACACACACAGTCTAAAGCCCCACCGTCCAGTGGCTGCTGTATGACAGGGAGCTGATGTGATGGTTATCTCCAGTTAACTGGATTAGTCACATGGTTCAGATCAACTCATTGTACCACTCACACATTCCCCTCCATTAGGATGTTCTCACCCATGTAATGCACTCCAAACGATGGCACCAGGGGTTAACTTAATGGCTTTCAGAGCCTCCACTGTAGCAGACACTCTTATCCAGAATGACTTACAGACAACCACATATCATAGTCATAGTAAGCTTATTTTTCCTAAATAAAGCAGCTATCAGCAAAGTCAGTGCTACTAAGAAAAGACAAGTGTGAGTGTTCGTGCAAGAAAGGCAAGGGTGTTAGTAGCCTATATAGTGCATTCGGAAAGTATTCAGACCCCTTGACTTTTTCCACATTTTGTTACGTTACAGCCTCATTCTAAAATGTATTATATTTTAAAAAAATCCTCATCAATCTACACACAATACCCCATAATGACAAAGCGAAACAGGTTTTTAGAAATGTTTGCAAATGTATAAAAACTAAAAAACAGAAATACCTTATTTACATAAGTATTCAGACCCTTTGCTATGAGACTCAAAATTGAGCTCAGATGTATCCTGTTTCCATTGATCATTATTGAGATGTTTCTACAACTTGATTTGAGTCCACCTGTTGTAAATTCAATTGATTGGACATGATTTGGAAAGGCACACACCTGTCTATATAAGGTCCCACAGTTGGCAGTGCATGTCAGAGCAAAAACCAAGCCATGAGGTCGAAGGAATTGTTTGTAGAGTTCCTAGACAGGATTGTATCGAGGCACAGATGTTGCGGTCCCTTATGTAGGGAAGGGCACTGAAAAATGTCTGCCGCATTGAAGGTCCCCAAGAACACAGCGGCCTCCATCATTCTTAAATGGAAGAAGTTTGGAACCACCAAGACTCTTCCTAGAGCTGGCCACCCGGCCAAACTGAGCAATTGGGGAGAAGGGCCTTGGTCAGGGAGGTGACCAAGAACCTGATGGTTCCTCTGTAAAGATGGAAGAACCTTCCAGAAGCTCAACCACGAAACAAGATTCTCTGGTCTGATGAAACCAAGATTGAACTCTTTGGCCTGAATGCCAAGAGTCACATCTGGAGGAAACCTGGCACCATCCCTACGGTGAAGCTTGGTGGTGGCAGCATCATGCTGTGGGAATGTTTTTCAGCGGCAGGGACTGGGAGACGATCGAGGGAAAGATGAATGGAGCAATGTACAGAGAGATCCTTGATGAGAACCTGCTCCAGAGCACTCAGGTCCTCAGACTGGGGTGAAGGTTTACCGTCCAACAGGACAACGACCCTAAGCACACAGCCAAGACAATGCAGGAGTGGCTTCAGGACAAGTCTCTGAATGTCCTTCAGTGGTACAGCCAGAGGCCGGACTTGAACCCGATCGAACATCTCTGGAGAGACCTGAAAATATATTTGCAGCGACACTCCCCATCCAACCTGACAGAGCTTGAGAGGATCTGCAGAGAAGAATGGGAGAAACTCCCCAAATACAGGTGTGCCAAGCTTGTAGCGTCATACCCAAAAAGACTAGAGGCTGTAATCGCTGCCAAAGGCGCTTCAACAAAGTACTAAGTAAAGGTTCTGAATACTTATGTAAATGTGATATTTAAGTTTTTTATTTTTAATACATTTGCAAAGATTTATAAAAACCTGTTTTTCCTTTGTCATTATGCAGTATTGTGTGTAGATTGATGAGGTAAAAAAAGACACAATTTAATCCGTTTCAGAATAAGGCTGTAACGTAACAAAATGTGGAAAAAGTCAAGGAGTCTGAAAACTTTCCGAATGCACTGTATCTATTATAATTTTAGAAATGTGTTCATTTGCCAGTAAAAATGTGTTCAACGTCCACTGAAGTAGCTAGCAAGTTTACTAGATAGCTAAAGTAGTTGCCATGGTAACCAAACAAACAGACTTGCTAGTTTAGCTAACCAAACCGTCAGTCCTAGCTTGCCATTATGAAAATCAAATTCAACATTGCCAATAATGTTTTCAGTTCAAAAGCAGATCAAAAATAGAACATGTAAGAATGAACTATAGCCATTGAATTCTACTGTGCAAACATACCGTGCATTATAGGGAAATAATGCACACTCTAGAATGCCCTTCAAGCTAATCAGAAACAACAATTCCATGGTATAAGTTGCATTGTCGGGTCTTTGTTTACAAAGTCTCTTTCCAGGAACATCATTCAGGATAAAAACCTATTAACCTTTTCTCCATTCAGAGAATTGAGTGGTGGGCAGCAACAATCATACTATAGACCTTAAAGGAGTGAAGTAGGTTGTCTGGATGGTTAGCTATTCTCAGGAAGAATGTCACCTGAAGGTCAGGGACCTCAGATGCCCCACTGATGAACCCCCACTCACTGAGACCCGCACCACGATTACATTCCAAAGTGGCACCCTATTCCCTACATAGTGCACTACTTTTAACCAGGGCCCATAAGGATATATCGGGTGCCATTTGAGATGCAGCCCACCTCTCATCCAGAACACGCATGAAATTCTTAAGACTCTTACACACACATAGGTCTGTACTCTACCTCTAAACAGGACACACAGCTCTCTAACCCAGAACAGGGTACACAGCTCTCTAACCCAGAACAGGACACACTGCTCTTTAACTGTGATCATTCTTATAATCCTATGGGCGCTCTTGACACTACATCAAAGATCTACTGGCTTACAAAATGATTGACAGAAGTGGGTATATGTAGGTTTACACTGTAAGTCTTCATTTTGAGAGGCAGAGGTGAGGCAAGGCAGAAACAGAGACAGACAAAGAGCATGAGGACTTCATTTCAGACCAATGCATCATATCACACTCCTCCCCCTCCTCCTCCCCCCCGCTGCACTCTAACTGCTTCAATAATTCATCTGTACTAAAATAAAAACAGCATCATCTCACATGCAGAAAGCCTGAAACACAATCAAAGGTTATACTCTGATGCTTTCATTCCAGCCGGGAAAAACAACAACAGTCTCTTCCGCAATGCACAAACATACAAACAACACACTTGATTATACTTCAGACAAATGCTCAAAGCAACATATTTTGGTTTCTTATGGGAAAAGACACCATCTAACACATATTCTACTTCTTCATGGGCAGAAGTATCCAGTCAGTAAATTATTCAATGACCCACCATCTACAATATGGTGGCCTTGCCTTGTCATGGCCAACTACTTCCGTTGCGTCTGCCTCTGCCCCTATATCTCCCAGCATTCAACTGGTTTAGCTACGTACTGCAGCAGCACCCTATGTATTAGTTATGACCAGAGCCATATATAGACATCTCTCTATATATACTGAACAAAAATATAAACACAACATGTAAAGTGTTCGTCCCATGTTACATGAGCTGAAATAAAAGATCCCCGAAAATGTCCATTCACCTGCGGGATCGTCTGAGACCAGCCACCCGGACAGCTGATAAAACTGTGGGTTGGCACAATCAACAGCCTGATCAACTCTATGCGAAGGAGATGTGTCGCGCTGCATGAGGCAAATGGTGGTCACACCAGATACTGACTGGTTTTCTGATCTATGCCCCTACCTTATTTTTTTAAAGGTATATGTGACCAACAGATGCATATCTGTATTCCCAGTCATGTGAAATCCATAGATTAGGACCTAATGAATTTATTTTAATTGACTGATGTCCTTATATGAACTGTAACTCAGTAAAATCTTTGAAATTGTTGCATGTTGCGTTTATATTTTTGTTCAGTGTATATATATACAGTACCAGTCAAAAGTTTGGACACACCTGTTCATTCAAGGGTTTTTCTTTATTTTTACTATTTTCTACATTGTAGAATAATAGTGAAGACATCAAAACTATGAACTAACACATATGGAATCATGTAGTAACCAGAAAAGTGTTAAACAAATCAAAATATATTTTAGATTTTAGATTCTTCAAAGTAGCAAACCCATGCCTTGATGACAGCTTTGCACACACTTGGCATTCTCTCAACCAGCTTCACCTGGAATGCTTTTCCAACAGTCTTGAAGGAGTTCCCACATATATAGAGCAATTGTTGGCACTTTTCCTTCCCTCTGCGGTCCAACTCATCCCAAACCATCTCAATTGGGTTGAGGTTGGGTGATTGTGGAGGCCAGAACATCTGATGCAGCACTCCATCACTCTCCTTCTTGGTCAAATAGCCCTTACACAGCCTGGAGGTGTGTTTTGGGTCATTGTGCTGTTGAAAAACAAATGATAGTCCCACTAAGCGCAAACCAGATGGGATGGCATATTGCTGCAGAATGCTGTGGTAGCCATGCTGGTTGTGTGCCTTGAATTCTAAATAAATCACAGACAGTGTCACCAGCAAAGCACCCCTACACCATCACACCTCCTCCTCCATGCTTCACGGTGGCAACCACACATGTGGAGATCATCCGTTCACCTACTCTGCGTCTCACAAAGACACAGCGGTTGGAACCAAAAATCTCACATTTGGACTACAGACCAAAGGACAGATTTCCAACGGTCTAATGTCCATTGCTCGTGTTTCTTGGCCCAAGCAAGTCTCTTCCTATTATTGGTTTCCTTTAGTATTGGTTTCTTTGCAGAAAAATCGACCATGAAGGCCTGAGTCACGCGGTCTCCTCTGAACAGTTGATGTTGAGATGTCTGTTATTTGAACTCTGTGAAGCATTTATTTGGGCTGCAATCTGAGGTGCAGTTAATTTCCGATTTCTGAGGCTGGTAACTCTAATGAACTTATCCTCTGCAGCAGAGGAAACTCTGGGTCTTCCTTTCCTGTGGCGGTCGTTAGAGCTGCTCTGACTGTTTACCTTGTGTTGTGGCCCTCCTGTAGCTCAGTTGGTAGAGCATGGCGCTTGCAACGACAGGGTTGTGGGTTTGATTCCCACGGGGGGCCAGTATGAAAAATGTATGCACTCACTAACTGTAAGTCGCTCTGGATAAGAGCGTCTGCTAAATGTTGTGGGTGTGTTTTGGCAGCTCTGACTGTTAACCTTGTGTTTTGGCTGCTCTGACTTTTAACATTGTGTTGTGGGTGTGTTTTGGCTGCTTTGACTGTTAACCTTGTGTTTCGGGTGTGTTTTGACTGCTCTGACTGTTAACCTTGTGTTGTGGGTGTGATTTGGCTGCTCTGACCATAATTCCTGTGAAGGTGATAATTGTGCTGACTGTGATCATTGCCATAACTATGCAGTTTGTATATTTCCTGCGCTGGCTGTCCTAGGCTGTGGTAGGTTGTTTTAGAACTGTTGTTGTTGGTGGTGTGTGTGTGTTTGTTTGTGTATGTGTTTATGTGTGTGTTTGTGTGCATGCTCTGCTCCCAGTCTCAGCTGTGACAGGGACACACCCACGCTGAATAACTACACTCTCACGAAACACCTTGCCACCTATCTTCACATCAGCCCTCCTCCAGCCTCCTCATCTCCTCTCCTCCCTTCACCTCCCCTCCTCTTCTCTCTTCCCTTGCTCTCCTCCCCTCTCCTCTCTTCCCTTGCTCTCTCATCCCTCATCTCCTTTAGTCCCTTGCTCTCCTCTCCCCTTTCCACTCTTCCATTGCCTTCCTCTGCTCTGCTCTGCTCTCCTCTCCTCCCCCTCTCCTCCCTTCCCGTACTCTCCTCCCCATCTCCTCTCTTCCCTTACTCTCCTCCCCATCTCCTCTCTTCCCTTACCCTCCTCTGCTTCGCTCTCCTCTCTCATTTTACATTTACATTTTAGTCATTTAGCAGACGCTCTTATCCAGAGCGACTTACAGTTACTGAGTGCATATATTTTTGTTTTATTTTTTCATACATCTGCTCTCTCCTCTCCAGCGACAGTAACAGGTTACAAGTGCAGGTCGAGCGGAGCGAAGGCAGGAGAGGGAGAGTGGTTTTCTCCTGTTCTCTTCTCCCTGTGTGTCATTCTCACATCAACTACTGTGGCCAGGAGCAGGAAAGGGAGCGGAGCCTGGTTTCTAAAACCAACTGATTCAACTCCTGCTGCTGGCTCTCACAGAACGTCATCTACATCAGAGACCACTCTACTTCTCTCTGTCTTTCTTTTTCTCTCTTTCTCGCTCTCTATCTTTCTGTCTATCCCTTTCACACACAGACCAAAATCCCAATAATTTACCATGCCTGCTTTTTTATACCAGCATTTTTGGTGTATCCGAAAGGGGTGGTGGTAAAAAAAAACAAAAACATGGTCAATTAAAAGCCACCTAAGGACCTAGTCATGATTCCTGCATTTTCACAGACCCTGTAACCAAAATACAGGTATCGGGTCTGTGTGACTGGTTCTCTGCTTTTTTGCAAGTAAATTCATTAATACTGCCATTGTTTAACACCTCCCTAATTTTAAATGCATACAGCCCCCATGGTTTAACAACACCCCCCACCCCTCCCGATTTTCCAGTTACCCACGGATATGCTCGAAAGTGCTACATAAGGGGCTGTTTGAAAGGGGTCATATAAACATTGCATTATATGTTTTACAGGTAATATACCACATACAGTGGGGAAAAAAAGTATTTAGTCAGCCACCAATTGTGCAAGTTCTCCCACTTAAAAAGATGAGAGAGGCCTGTCATTTTCATCATAGGTACACGTCAACTATGACAGACAAAATGAGAAAAAAAAATCCAGAAAATCACAATGTAGGATTTTTTATGAATTTATTTGCAAATTATGGTGGAAAATAAGTATTTGGTCAATAACAAAAATTTCTCAATACTTTGTTATATACCCTTTGTTGGCAATGACACAGGTCAAACGTTTTCTGTAAGTCTTCACAAGGTTTTCACACGCTGTTGCTGGTATTTTGGCCCATTCCTCCATGCAGATCTCCTCTAGAGCAGTGATGTTTTGGGGCTGTCGCTGGGCAACACAGACTTTCAACTCCCTCCAAAGATTTTCTATGGGGTTGAGATCTGGAGACTGGCTAGGCCACTCCAGGACCTTGAAATGCTTCATACGAAGCCACTCCTTCGTTGCCCGGGCGGTGTGTTTGGGATCATTGTCATGCTGAAAGACCCAGCCACGTTTCATCTTCAATGCCCTTGCTGATGGAAGGAGGTTTTCACTCAAAATCTCCCGATACATGGCCCCATTCATTCTTTCCTTTACACGGATCAGTCGTCCTGGTCCCTTTGCAGAAAAACAGCCCCAAAGCATGATGTTTCCACCCCCATGCTTCACAGTAGGTATGGTGTTCTTTGGATGCAACTCAGCATTATTTGTCCTCCAAACACGACGAGTTGAGTTTTTACCAAAAAGTTCTATTTTGGTTTCATCTGACCATATGACATTCTCCCAATCCTCTTCTGGATCATCCAAATGCACTCTAGCAAACTTCAGACGGGCCTGGTCATGTACTGGCTTAAGCAGGGGGACACATCTTGCACTGCAGGATTTGAGTCCCTGGCGGCGTAGTGTGTTACTGATGGTAGGCTTTGTTACTTTGGTCCCAGCTCTCTGCAGGTCATTCACTAGGTCCCCCCGTGTGGTTCTGGGATTTTTGCTCACCGTTCTTGTGATCATTTTGACCCCACGGGGTGAGATCTTGCGTGGAGCCCCAGATCGAGGGAGAATATCAGTGGTCTTGTATGTCTTCCATTTCCTAATAACTGCTCCCACAGTTGATTTCTTCAAACCAAGCTGCTTACCTATTGCAGATTCAGTCTTCCCAGCCTGGTGCAGGTCTACAATTTTGTTTCTGGTGTCCTTTGACAGCTCTTTGGTCTTGGCCATAGTGGAGTTTGGAGTGTGACTGTTTGAGGTTGTGGACAGGTGTCTTTTATACTGGTAACAAGTTCAAACAGGTGCCATTAATACAGGTAACGAGTGGAGGACAGAGGAGCCTCTTAAAGAAGAAGTTACAGGTCTGTGAGACCCAGAAATCTTGCTTGTTTGTAGGTGACCAAATACTTATTTTCCACCATAATTTGCAAATAAATTCATAAAAAATCCTACATTGTGATTTTCTGGATTTTTTTTTCTCATTTTGTCTGTCATAGTTGACGTGTACCTATGATGAAAATGACAGGCCTCTCTCATCTTTTTAAGTGGGAGAACTTGCACAATTGGTGGCTGACTAAATACTTTTTTTCCCCACTGTATTCTGTCTGAAAATGGTATTCATCTCTCACTTTCTATCTCTCTCTCTCTCTTTCTCCCTTTCTCTCTCTCGCTTTCTCTATCACATTTTCTTCTGCTCTCTGAATATGGTCTCCAAATTATTCCTCGAGGTATTCTGCCAATATTTCCAAAACAGTGTTTCTGAAATATTTAAAATATCACCTCAGTAATGGACAGGATCAAGACCACAGTGATGCGCAAACAATTGTCATTCAAAACATAAAACATTTAAACAAGTGCTATGACTCATACAATGTTCATTGAATCGCTAGCATTGCCTGTCAGTGAGTACACATTTCTACACTATAAACTTTGTGAAGTGAAAAACATCAACCTGATAATAGCCACACACAATAGTACAAACACACAACAAAATGTAAAACCCTGCACAGCACTAAAGGCCCACAAACTATGTTTTTAACACACGAGAGAGAACTGATTTCCATAGCCGGTGGGATGTGGGGCAGGGTGGGGGGTTGTGGGGGTGCCTACTGCTAAATAGCCAGACTGAAAATAGTCAATTAATGGTACTTGAACTATCTGCACTCTCCAACTTTCACTGACCCTAAACAACACTCGATAGACTATAGTGCCTTGCGAAAGTATTCACCCCCCTTGGCATTTTTCCTATTTTGTTGCCTTACAACCTGGAAATAAAATTGATTTTTGGGGGGGTTGTATCATTTGATTTACACAACATGCCTACCACTTTGAAGATGCAAAATATGTTTTATTGTGAAACAAACAAGAAATAAGACCAAAAAAAGAAAACTTGAGCGTACATAACTATTCACCCCTCAAGGTCAATACTTTGTAGAGCTAACATTTGCAGCAATTACAGCTGCAAGTCTCTTCGGGTATGTCTCTATAAGCTTGGCACATCTAGCCACTGGGATTTCTGACCATTCTTTAAGGCAAAACTGCTACAGCTCCTTCAAGTTGAATTGGTTCCGCTGGTGTACAGCAATCTTTAAGTCATACCACAGATTCTCAATTGGATTGAGGTCTGGGCTTTGACTAGGCCATTCCAAGACATTTAAATGTTTCCCCTTAAACCACTCAAGTGTTGCTTTAGCAGTATGCTTAGGGTCATTGTCCTGCTGGAAGGTGAACCTCCGTCCCAGTCTCAAATCTCTGGAAGACTGAAACAGGTTTCCCTCAAGAATTTCCCTGTATTTAGCGCTATCCATCATTCCTTCAATTCTGACCAGTTTCCCAGTCCCTGCCGATGAAAAACATCCCCACAGCATGATGCTGCCACCACCATGCTTCACTGTGGGGATGGTGTTCTCGGGGGTGATGAGAGGTGTTGGGTTTGCGCCAGACTTGGTGTTTTCCTTGATAGCAAAAAAGCTCAATTTTAGTCTCATCTGACCAGAGTGCCTTCTTCCATATGTTTGGGGAGTCTCCCACATGCCTTTTGGCGAACACCAAATGTGTTTGCTTATTTTTTTCTTTAAGCAATGGCTTTTTTCTGGCCACTCTTCCGTAAAGCCCAGCTCTGTGGAGTGTACAGCTTAAAGTGGTCCTATGGACAGATACTCCAATCTCCGCTGTGGAGCTTTGCAGCTCCATCAGGGTTATCTTTGGTCTCTTTGTTGCCTCTCTGATTCAAGCCCTCCTTGCATGGTCTGTTAGTTTTGGTGGGCGGCCCTCTCTTGGCAGGTTTGTTGTGGTGCCATATTCTTTAAATTTTGTAATAATGGATTTAATGGTGCTCCGTGGGATGTTCAAAGTTTCAGATATTTTTTTATAACCCAACCCTGATCTGTACTTTTCCGTTATTTATTTTTTAGAATTGTTTTTAACGTTATTATTTTCATTTCACTTCACCAATTTGAACTATTTTGTGTATGTCCATTACATGAAATCCAAATAAAAATCAATTTAAATTACAGGTTGTAATGCAACAAAATAGGAAAAACGCCAAGGGGGATGAATACTTTTGGAAGGCACTGTATACACAACATATACACACTCACACACACTACATTGACACTCCCACACAAAACCCACACACATTCACATACACTACATACGCACACAGACACATCACACACACATGCATACCGACACAACACAAACACACACATACGCACATTCACACACGCACATACACTTTTACACTCATAATTTGCTGATGCTACTCTTTTCTTAATTTTACTCATATTATTATCTATTCTGATGCCTAGTAACTTTACCCTGCCTTCATGTACATATCTACCTCAAAAACCTCGTACCTCGCACATTGATCTGGTACTGGTACTTCCTGTATATATTGTAACTCCATTCTTGTGTATTTTATTTTATTTTCATTTTTATTTTAAAACTCTGCATCGTTGGGAAGTGCTCATAGGCAAGCATTTCACTGCATTGTTTTGACTGCTAGCATGTGA